AGAAATATAGATAGTAGTATATATTATACAGATAGGTCTTTGATTAGAAGTAGTGTAGATTGTAGGATGGGTGCAGGATGGGTGCAAGTAGACAATTTGGAGGAAACGGTACTTTCGGAGAGAAAAATCAGTTTTGGTAAATGGCCATCATCAACAAAGGCTGAGCTAGTTGCAGTGCTAATGGTAGTATTGACAGCTAGGTGCAGAAGTGAGGTTGTAGTCAAATTAGATAGTGCTGTGGCAATTTCAAGCCTTGAAGACACAACAATGCTAACAGATATAAGAGTGTGGAGTAAGAAGCAGAATGCTAGTTTAGTAGTGAAGATTAAAAATATATGTAGATCAAAGAGTTCAGTTTTTCAGTTGGTCAAAGTGAAAGCACATAATAAGGTAAAATGGAATGAAAAAGCAGACCAATTGGCTAAAGAAGGCTCTTGCTTAACTCGGTACTCAATATTACCTTTGGAGAAAAATTGTCACAAAAGATTTTCAGTTCATCTCAATGAAACACCAGTGGAAGTTACAACAAGAAAACTAGTCAAGATGTTGATGAGTTTCAAACTGGTACAGAGTGGCATAACTCGAATACTATCAGATCATATAAAAATAAGACAGATTTAAATCGTAGCTGGAAGGCTTTATGGTATCAGAATAAAAAAGCAACTGGAATTAGGTGCAAGTCACGTGTAGCTAGCAGAAATATAGCCTTCCGAATTAAATATATTAACAACAGTTTACCAGTTTTGACTATGCTGAAAAGAAGAAAACCTGAAATATATATAGATGATACGTGCATAAGTTGCAAGTGTGCAAAAGAAGATTCAGACCATCTGGTAGAGTGCATAGGGTATACCAATTACTGGAGTATTGTAGAGAAGGTTGCATGCTTACTCGCATGGAAGAAGTTAGATCATGCACATAAACAGACAATATCTGTTAAGAGGTTTGCTTGTTGATTTGGCAGTGATACAACTGAAAAGAAGAAGAGACAACATTAGAGGACTTATACTCGACGATGCAGTAGCAGAGTTGTTAGACTTAGAGCTACCTAAGAAGATTGTAAACCTGGCACTTAGTAGTTATACAGAACTTGTAGAAAGTAGCTTTCTTAATAGAATTTGGCGAATCAGATGTAATGCAGTTGCTGAGAGGAAAAAGAAAATTGGTATAGATATAGCAATGAAGAGAAGTAACCCGAAAAATCCTGTTAAAGAGGGTGCTGTTACCATTAAAAGTTCAACATCGAGAGTTGGAAAAAACAAGAGTAAAGGTGAGATAAGTGGTGTAGTTGAGTCAACAAGTAATGTGAAGAAAGCAGAAGTTATGCAGTTGTTTGAGGAGGGTGTTGTTGAATGGGTTGAGAATGGATCAACCCCATTTTGGTTTAGTTCTTGATAGAGCTGACAAGGTCTTCCAACCCACATGTGGGTTGGTGCGACAAGCTGCATCTAGGTGTACATAATGTAGCCAGGTAATGCCGGGCTTGCAATTTTTAATTAGATATTATTAGAATTTTGAAACTTTGTTTTTAGTCTAATAGTAATATAATTTGTATTTGAGTACTGACAAGACTATCAAAGAATTAAAAAAAAAAAAAAATTATATTACATGTTTTTATAACTTTATAATGTGGAAAGTGTTTTTTGTTAATTTATTAGCCTATAAGTCTGTGCTTTATTATATTTTTTTAAATTGGTTTATTATGGTATTATATAATGCAATTTATAATTCATAACATCTTTTTTTATTGAATTATTAGCTTATAAGTATAAGCTTTATTATGTTTGTTTTCCAATTAATTGTGTAGGACCAACATGAAATTGGTTTCAATATGAGGTAAATTAGTATTTAAAGTCTACTAGTAATTAATAATCATAAAAAATACTAATTGACTTTATGTTGGACCAATCACATGTTGGTCCCTTACAATTATTTTTAAAATATATATCTAATAAATATTTAAAAATGTTTCTATTAAATTATTATAAGCTTTATTATATTTTCTTATTTGATGATTTTAAATAATACTATTTACAGTATAATTTTATAATATTATTTTCTTTTTTTAATTATTAGCTGGCAAGTATAAGCCTTATTATATTTTTTTTCTAAATTTTTGATAAATTTTAAAACATTGTTATAGAATGTGTTAACATTATAAAACATCTTAGAGATTTTATCTCTATTAGATTCAGAAGATTGTAACAATCAAAACAAGCTATAATGCAAGACAAATAGACTATCGGTTAGCTAGATAATACCTTTTGTACCTTTCATACCTTTTGTACTTTTCATACCTTTTGTATCTTTTATACCTTTTGTACCTTTTATACCTTTTATACCTTTTATACTTTTGTACCTTTTATACTTTTTATATGTTTAGTACTTTTTATACCTTTTATACATGTTGTAAAAGCTATAAACTCTAGCTTTTATCCTTCCTTGTACTAGAGGATTCGTTCTCTGCAATGTTCTAAAATATTAGGAATCTATTGGAATAGATACCTATAGATAGCTTTGTATTTAGGCATTGTATCATAAATAAATAAACATATCTTTGCTCTAAAGTAAACCATGTCTTTATGCTTCTAATGAATATACTGAACTTCCCTAGTAAGGAAACATTCCACTTCCACACCGCTTTATATCTTGCCCTGTTGTTTAGAGATCCCTGTCGCTGTGTGCTATGTTGCAGGTAGTAAATTAAGAAAGCTATCCCATTTGTAACATAATGATGGAAGTTTGTTTTAATTGGTCAACATTTTGCATGATCTATCTGCAATTACCCATGATAATTAACCAATCAAATTACATAATTTTTTAAAAAATTCATCACTCTTAATACTATTAGAAAATGAAGAAAAACTTTATATAAAAACCTTACAAATTAAAAATATTTATCACATATATTTTAGAGAATAGATAGATGTGTGTAAAGTATGCAAATATATTATTTATTAAGAGCTTATCAAAATATTTATACAAATAGTAATATATAAACTATAACTTTAAATTTACAGCTAACAAAATCCAATACACTACAAAAACCAACCAAACATTAAACACATTAAATCCAGGTCTCTTGCCTAATGAGCTTGTATTTATTCAAACTATACTGTTAGTAATAAAAGTTTATTTGAATCTAACATAATAAAATAGCTTAAGCAAAAAAATCTTTCTAGTTACCTCGCTTTATAGTATAGTTTACATGGTCCGTATATTTTGTTTTCTAAGCAATGTCCCTTAGTTTTGAGATTATTTTTGTATAGTAATGTCGAATAAAGTTCTAGTGAAAAAAATTTTCATAATTAGTTAAATAATCATGAGTGTTACTAAGTTTTCGGTTTAAGTTAACTAAAATAACTAGTAAAAAAATTATATTTTTCTTTGTTTTTACGTATAAGTGAACTACCTTTTCCTATCTGATCTATAGCGATCCAGAAGTCTTAAACGACATTTTAGAACTTGAAGAATATACTTGTAAAAAAAATATCCTAGTCATATGAACAACCAGAGGTTGTAATATTACCCTAAAAAAAGATTTCATATGACAAATATTATAAGGTATGATCTACCAACCAATCATAATTGATCTGATGATCAGGATTAACAATCAATTAAAATGAATTTCCATCATGCTGTTTGCTGTATTATATTCAAGATTTCCCAATCCAACTCGTTAATTTTTATTAAATGAATCGTTATTGCCAGTAAAGGTTGGACTTGAAGTCTAAAATTTTATGATTAGCAAATTAGTATCATTTACTTAATTTAGTCGCCAGTCGTATGTTGTAGAACCATGAAAAGGTTCAATGAATCAGAAGATTTTTCAATAAATTCCATTACAAATGGTTACAATAAATATACAGTATCAATAAAAATATTTTCAAAAGAGCACTTCATCAAACTTTATTAAAATATTATATAAATGAGATACGAGTTGTCATTTTTTTTCCTTATTATAACATCACCTATATTATTCACAATATTTTATTCAATATGACATGATTTAAATTTAACCACTAGTCAATAATGTGCTAAGAGATTATTCCTTTAAAAGAGCTATTTTAGGATTGAATGACCAACTATTTTGTTTACCAACAATAATTAATAATACTATGTAAAAATAATACCAAATTTATTAAAATATACTGAAACCATTATATAAAAACGTTAATATATATATATATTAATTATTTTTTAATCGAACCCGGAGTGTGTCGGCGACCTAATAATCTTTGAGTTAGCTTTTGAATTTCAACAGTATGTTTTACCAATTCAAAAAGCGCTGTGTCATGAACAAACTCTTTAAGAGCGATTTCATAATAATATATCTTAGTTTCCGATTTTTCAAAATAACAACACAGCTTTGATATATATTCATCAGTATTCTTTAATCTTTTATAAACGCCTTTATAAATTTCGTTTTTGTCTTCTTTACAAATGAACTTGATTTCTTCCAAATTAATATTTAGATTTCTTGCTTCTTGTAAATATTGTTCTAATTTTTTATAATCTGATAATTTCCTTCGCATTTCTTTAATCTCATCATGAAGGTAAGCACTAGTGCCTTTTCCACTATGAAGAATATCAATTATATCCGCTTTTTTCTCCTTGATTTTTGGTGGAATTATGTTCTTTAAATCTAAAGGTTTTATTTGTTGTTCAAATATTTCTTCTAACTTGGTCAAGTGAGTTTTTAAAGAAAGAAGTTCATTTTTTATTCTTTTTTCGAGTTTTTCGTACTTCTTTTTTCGATATTCAAGAATATTTTCTACTTTCCAAGCTTCTAGAGCATCATTCTCACTATATCTTTTATTAGTATAAGATGTTAATGAAAAACATTCTTTTAATTGAGCAAATATTTTCTGACAGCCTAAATTTTCACGTTCCAAATACGAACTCTCACCAAAAATACTAATACTAATACTAATTACACTAACAGGTAAATGTTCTAAGCCACTGTCAATATTTGTACCAGCAATAGTTATATATTTTAATTTAGTTAAGTTTTTCAAAGGCTCTAGACTTCCATGAAAACTGCCATCTACCGTTATACTTTCTAAATTAACAAATTTACTAAAGCAAGTTAACTTTCTGGCTGAAAGTTTATTATTTTTTAGATCAATTTCTTTTATTTTGTCTGGATTTAAATCCGTAAAATCAATATCAGTTAATAGATTATTTGAACATTTAAGAACTTCTAGATTACTAAATCCTTCTAATTTTAAAAAACCTTCAAGGTTTTTATTACTTAGATCTAAGCTCTTTATTTTTTTTCTTATTTCTCGAGGATAATCTTGATCAATTATTGCTTGTGCGTTTACCATTTTTGCTTTATATTGATTTGTCACTTAATCGTTACTTCTATGTAATATTTTATAGCAAGAAAATAATTTCCCTTAAGTTTAGACTCAGTTAGTCTGATGTTATAACCCGGGTGGAAATTTTCAAATTATCGATGCCAAATTCGGTTATACGCGTAGATATGTAAGGGCCGGCCTTTTCGTTCAAAAAGAAATGGTATTTATTTAATCGTAAAAAAAAAATGAAAAGTCTAAGAAGGTGTAAGAATTCGGTATTCGATAATGATTGGCTAGTCTGATGCTATAACCCGGGTAGAAATTTTAAACTATCGATGTCTAAATCGATTCTACGCGTAGATATAAAAGGGCCGGCCTTTAATTCAAAAAGAAGGAGGTACTTGTTTAATCGTAAAAAAATTAAACGTTTAAGCAAGTGTAAAGATTTAGGATTTGATAATGTTTTGGGGCTATTTAAAAGATTAAGTTATGCGTTATCAGTCAGCAAAAATATCAATGATCTGCATATCCTTATTAGTCAAAAATATGTTTGTATTACGTTCTTTATCATAAATTAAAGAAGATTATGTATCATCTTTATCACCAATACAAACAATTATATTACACGCCTTTGTCTTCAACTCAACAATTAAGGGCGTTTTCAAGTACTTCGATAAATATATTCTATAAAGAATGTATAATCAAACTTGCCAATCAGATTCCTATCGAATTCATTGAAAAGAGTGCCCTATGTAACACAACTTTATCATTAATGTAAACAATCATGTAACGTCTTTATCGTTAATCCACACAATTATGTAACACCTTGAAATTAGCTATTGTTTTAGAAATAATAATAATTTATTACTTTGTTTTACGTTCGTTGTTTTTTATTCTATTACGTAATCCTTATGCGTGTGGTTAAAAAATATTCTCATAAACTAAAGAAAGAAATTTTACTCTTTATTTTTTTTTACATATTGCTAGATGTTAGTGTTACTGTGATTCTTTTTTCTTAGCTTCTTATTTCTATCATGTTTTTTATAATTTATTACACTACTACTTTATCAGTTATTGTAAATATTGATGCCACTTATATGTTACGAAAATTTAAGGTTCATATGTGCAACATTAAACCGACTTTATCATATCTTTATATATTTTTCATATTAATTAGTACTGAATTTGATTAAGATAATTATTAAAATAGAATAAAAATGGGTTTGAATCATGTAGCATTAAAAAGAAAAACGAAACGGATAAATAGCGAGTCAGTCAACTACAATCCGGAAATTTGTATAACCTATGAGTGCCTTAGTCAAATAAAAATGGTTAGATTTGGATGTTGACTTACAAATCGATTTACATGCTCAGATAAAGTTGTTTCATAAATTATTACACAGGTAGATAATTCGGGAAATTTTCAAAGAATATCATTAAGTCATTTTTGGTTCCAAATTTTTAAGTTATGATCAATAATTACTTTAGAATTGTTTCCATATACGTTAATATTGTAATATTTGAAACAACTAGGCACAAGACCCACGTTAAATGACGAGTTTGATTGACAATATATTAGGTTTAAAAATTTTTATAATATAAACTATAAGCGCTTTATTTTATTTGACTTGTGTTTTGATATATTATTTATGTGCGTCATGTTAAAATTTACGTCAAATCGTTTCAGATTAAACATTGTGTAGAATAAAAATTATGTTAAATTAAAAATTTACTTAACCAAAAATTAAAAAATGGCAAACTAAAAATTGCGTCAGACCAAGAGTTGCGTCTAGTGACGTTAGGTAATTCAATGAAACCTAGTTTGACTAATTTTGGAATCAGATGGTAATCTTTCAAAACCGAACCGATTAAACTAGCTGGTTTTTTACGTGAAATTATGACCATCTTATGGAAGCATATTGTTGACTAATTAAAAATCAAATCCTAATAATTATTTTCTAAATGTATTGTGGTCGAATTGCATAAATTGTTTTTTTTTGTTAGAAATCAATATCTTATTTTAAACAAAAAAATAATTATGACGAATCTGATGATGAATTCAAACTTGGTCTTTCGTATTTACGGGGTTAATGTTGAAAAAATGAATACAAAGCATTAATCCAATTTGCAAAAGCGGTCATATTAAGGGGTTCTTTACGTAGGACTTTGCTGTCGTATATGAAAAAGACGATCGTAAAAGCGGTTATTCATTTCCAAAATTAACAAAGATTTCAACAAAGATAGAGAATCATGCTAGGATGTTTTTACAGTATTTGTAGGTTATTATAACAAAGGAATTGGTGTTGAAAAGGATAAAAACAAGGCATTTATTTATTTCAAAAATCTGCAGAGATGGAAATATTAATGGAATATACAATGTTGGTCAATGTTATCAACATGGATTTAGAATAGTGAATAATGAACATAAAGCATTCGAATATTATAAAAAATTTTCAGATATGGGATGAACATTAGAAGTTGGATATTGTCACCGTCATGGAATCTGAGTTAAAATAGATGAATACAAGGTATTCATTTATTTTTAACAATCCGCAGAAATGAAACATGTCGAAAATATTCAATGTTAGAATGTTATGAATTCGATTTGGAATTAAAATTGAAAAGGATAAACAAAAGGCATTCGTTTATTATCAAATAACTGTAGAAATAGGTTATGCTAGTGGAAATATTATGTTGGATATTATTATTAAATGGAATTGAAGTTGCGCAGAGATGGGCGATGCTAATAGAATGTTGTAGGTTGGTTATTGCTATCGAAACGGTATTGGAACTCGTACAAATATACAAAAGCTATACAAAAGCAAATTATTGGTTCCTTGAGGTGAGAAAAAAATTTAACGAAATAATCAAATTAGAATATAGAAATCTTAATATTGATAAAGATATTAAAACATTTTTAGATGCCATTATCATGGATTCTATACAACAAATTTATGAATATTGAGAACTTTAGAAAAGGAGATTTTGCTTCGTGCTAAATGGAAAAGAAAATATAAATATAATAATTATAGATTAATATCTTTTACTTTTACTATTGCGCTTAAAGGATTTCATGAATGTGTATTAAAAAATTATTGTAAATCGGATTCAATAATCCCTCATTTATGAAATGTTTCGATGTAACAAGAAACGAGAATGGAAAATATATCCTTGTATTAAAATACGCAGAAATGGGTTCTTTGCGTCAGATACCTTTTCACATTGTAGAAATGAATTGGAAAGAAAAATTGAATTTGTTGTTTAGCATAACTTCTGTGCATCGAGATTTTCATAGCGGTAACATTTTACAAGATAATTTACATAGTCATATGTCGTAGACTTGGAACTTTCGATTCAATATTCGAAACGAAATTATATCCAAGTTTTTGGAGTTTTACCTTACGTTGATCCAAATTTAGTATACTATATTTTCCGATAATTATTCTTTTAGAATTATCATTCTGTTACAAATGAAATTGACTTTCAGTTAAAAATATGTAATGGGTTTCGACCACTTGTTAATGATGAAGCACCACAATGCTATGCGAATTTGATGAAACAATGTTGAGATCATGATCCGGAAAACGACCCACCGCACAAAAGCTTTGTAATATTTTTAAAGAATGGCAAAATGTCAAGAAAATCTTGTCGGAATTGAATGTTACTTAAATATACGAAAAAATCTTATATAGGCATAAATGGTGGTGCGAGTAAACCTATTCCTCGCATGGATTCTATCTCGCATGTGAATAGCGGTTTGCAAGATTTGAAAATCTATTTTACAAAAATCTGTCAAAAATGAACTTGCTAAAAATATGCAATTTAGCGGTATAAATAAATAATAGAATACCTATATATAGTAAATTTGCGAGTGTGGTTTGAGATCATTAGAGGATAAATAGTTTAAAATTAATGGAATATTTATCGATCGCACTATTATCAATTAAGAGTTTGTACCACCTTCGGTTTTCTATGTAAAATATGCCATGAAAATCATTCTATACTAAATCCAACCAGAATCAAGATTTTGTGTACGAACGCTAAACTTGAACTGAACCATACATTACATTCTACTACTTTCCTGATATATCGTTATCAGATTTTTAGACCAGTTCCATAATTTCAGCAACTAACTAATTAAACTGGTTTATGTGGTCAGACACAATTCGGAACTTAAATGGTCTAGTCTGACCGGTTTAACACAAAGTTGCATCGGAAAATTAATAATGTATATTACTTTAAAATTTATATGCGTATTATACTAATCTAATTAGATTTGCTTTATTTTTTATTTGTAATTATACCCTGGCACTATATCAAGATCGCAGGGTATTGTCACGGGTAGTATAAATCGTGACCACACAAAACGTAACTCAAACGACGATCGGGACCTGGATCGATGCACGATCAATGATCGTGCATACAATGACGATGCCCCCGGATTTTGG